GTTGGTTGGTTTATTATTTTGTCATAGTGTGTTGTAGATAGGTGATAAATAGCAATGTTATTTTAACACTTTCCAACATGCCCCTGTTTAACTAACGCGTGTCTCTACAGCCTATCAATTAGCCGTTTACCTCTGATGCAACGGCCCACCAACCTGTCTTACCATCATCATTCACACCTAGTTCAACAACCCATCAACCTGTCTTACCATCATCATTCACACCTATTTCAACAACCCACCAACCTGTCTTACCATCATCATTCACACCTAGTTCAATCACCCATCAACCTGTTTTACTTACCATCATCATTTACCCCTAGTTCAACTATCCACCAATCTCTCTTACCATCATCATCTACCACTAGTTCAACCACTCATCAAACTGTTTTACTTACCATCATCATTCACACCTAGTTCAACCACCCACCAACCTGTCTTACCATCATCATTCACACCTATTTCAACAACCCACCAACCTGTCTTACCATCATCATTCACACCTAGTTCAACCACCCATCAACCTGTTTTACCATCATAATTCAAACCTAGTTCAACCACCCATCAAACTGTTTTACTTACCATCATCATTTACCCCTAGTTCAACCATCCACCAACCTTTTTTACCATCATCAATCACACCTAGTACAACAACCCATCAAACTGTTTTACTTACCATCATCATTTACCCCTAGTTCAACCACCCATCAACCTGTTTTACTTACCATCATTTACCCCTAGTTCAACCACCCATCAAACTGTTTTACTTACCGTCTTTTACTCCTAGTTCAACCACCCATCAAACTGTTTTACTTACCATCATTTACCCCTAGTTCAACCACCCATCAAACTGTTTTACTTACCATCATTTGCCCCTAGTTCAACCACCCATCAAACTGTTTTACTTACCATCATCATTTACCCCTAGTTCAACCACCCATCAAACTGTTTTACTTACCATCATCATTTACCTCTAGTTCAACCACCCATCAGACTGTTTTACTTACCATCATCATTTACCCCTAGTTCAACCACCCATCAGACTGTTTTACTTACCATCATTTACCCCTAGTTCAACCACCCATCAAACTGTTTTACTTACCATCATCATTTACCCCTAGTTCAACCACCCATCAGACTGTTTTACTTACCATCATCATTTACCCCTAGTTCAACCACCCATCAGACTGTTTTACTTACCATCATCTACCCCTAGTTCAACCACCCATCAAACTGTTTTACTTACCATCATCATTTACCTCTAGTTCAACCACCCATCAACCTGTTTTACTTACCATCATCTACCCCTAGTTCAACCACCCATCAACCTGTTTTACTTACCATCATCTACCCCTAGTTCAACCACCCATCAACCTGTTTTACTTACCATCATCTACCCCTAGTTCAACCACCCATCAAACTGTTTTACTTACCATCATCTACCCCTAGTTCAACCACCCATCAAACTGTTTTACTTACCATCATCTACCCCTAGTTCAACCACCCATCAAACTGTTTTACTTACCATCATCATTTACCTCTAGTTCAACCACCCATCAACCTGTTTTACTTACCATCATCTACCCCTAGTTCAACCACCCATCAACCTGTTTTACTTACCATCATCTACCCCTAGTTCAACCACCCATCAACCTGTTTTACTTACCATCATCTACCCCTAGTTCAACCACCCACTAACCTGCCTTACTTACCATCTTTTACCTTTGTCTCAACCCATCAACCTGTCTCACTAACCGACATCATCAGCCCCAATGTTTAACCGTCCATCAAACTTCAAAGTGTTTTTGTCTGCGCCATCAGGCTTGCCTCATTGTATTTATTAGCCAATTTCCGTCTGTTAAATGGGCCACATATTGAGGTTAATCCTGTATGTGTATTTTAATATCATGTCATCACAGAAACACTCATCCAGCAGTAGTTGATGAATTATGCGATAGGTACACACATCTAGCAGTAGTTATTGGATTATTTAAGAGTACACACATTTAACAGTCGTTTATGAATGATGCGACAAGTACACAAATCCAGCAGTAATTTATGAGTGATGCAATGGTTACACAAACCAGTAGTAGTTAAATATAGCAGTTAATGGATGATGTAAGAGATACGTAAATCTAACAGAAGCAAGGCCTAGTGAATGATATACAAACAGGCTGTGTATCGTTACCGCGACTATTAGACAAGTTGATTGGCTGCTTGACCGTTATGGTGTGTCAGGTGACCATTGCTTGGCGTCAAGTATATCGATCTTTAACCCTGAGCTATCTATAGCCAGAGTATCAAAAACTAGAGTAACTTTCCAAGTGGAACCAATCTCTTTCTATGATTCGGGAAATAAGGGAATATAGATCCCATCCCATTAAAATATAGATCTAGTCAACAGTGCCGATACTAATGACATATATTAATAATATTATTTTTTTTAAAGGATGGGGGGTTTCTTTAGGTTGCGTGTTAGTAAACTAATATCTAATACAACCAAACAGTGTTCATCAGCACTCCTCTAGGCTAGATAGAGTTTTAGCAATCGAATCTAGATCTAGGTTTGTCAATCTACGTACACGTAGAACACGAACAACCGTTGTGTGGATATTCCCGCTGCAGTCACTGGGGGATATTTTACTTGCTGATGTAAGTGCTGACCCTGAAATCGTTGACATGTCGAATCTTGCCGGTTGATTCCTGTCGTCATCACGGCTATCACGTGATTTATTTATTTTTAAAAAAATCTTGTTCCTGATATTTTGGTCATATAGAATAGTTGTAGCCACATATTAAAATAGATGATGTTTTATGTATAAGAATTCAACTCTTGGGATTATAGTATAATTAGTCCTCTAAAATAAATCTTCTCTTATTCAAGTTTTTATTTTTTGTCATCTTTAGCATTTATTTGACCTAAGTATTTACTTTTTAAGTGCTTTTTTAAAATTTACTATTTAGTTAGTTCGAAGTGAGTTTTCATACAAGCCCAACGCACTAGTTAAGGTTGTCGCAAAATGTAACATATATGCAACATATGCCAATGATGTCAATGAATTTTCATTAAAAAAAAAGATGTCTAGTACAGTTTACGAAACTTACGAACTTCGCCGATACTTTTTTGGTGAGTAGTTTGGTAAGTATGTAGGCGGGTAGGTGGCTAGGTGGGTAAGTGGGTAGGTGGGTAGCTAGGTAGGTAGGTAGGTAGGTGGGTAGTAGGTAGGTAGGTAGGTGCGTCATGATGTGAAAAAATATTAAATACAAAATTGTTATTTTGGTGCGAATGAATGTTGTTACGAGAGATATGACGAATGCATGTTTGATGACGCGGATGAAAGAGAGTGAAGTTTTGCCATAGGAACGGGTTGTTATAGTATGCAAGCTAGGTAGTTCGGACTAGGGAGAATGTGAAAGATACTTCGTGTAATGTCGATAGTTTTATGTTTATAGGAGAATAGTAGTTGAATAATTATTGACCAAGAAAATAATAGGCATTGTGTAAAGTGATTATCGCCTGTATCGTGGTGATGGGAATGCAGATGGTAGTGGTACGCTTTAAATGGTAGTAGATCACGTGATCAAACACGACACTCTCACAGCAGCCCTAACAGTCATGTATAAATGTGTCATCTAGTCCATATGGTCTTTGTGCTAAATTTCTCTTTTGCACATTTTTCGTTGTGTTTTTTCTGGTTGCGCATTTTTCTGTTTCTGTTTGCGCTTTTTTCCGTTTGCGCTTGTTTCTGTGTGCGCTTTTTTCTGTTTGCGCTTTTTTCTGTTTGCGCTTTTTTCTGTGTGCGCTTTTTTCTGTTTGCGCTTTTTTCCGTTTGCGCTTTTTTCTGTTTGCGCTTTTTTCCGTTTGCGCTTTTTTCCGTTTGCGCTTTTTTCCGTGTGCGCTTTTTTCTGTTTGCGCTTTTTTCCGTTTGCGCATTTTTCTCTTTGCGCTTTTTTCCGTTTGCGCTTTTTTCTGTTTGCGCTTTTTTCTGTGTGCGCTTTTTTCTCTTTGCGCTTTTTTCTGTTTGCGCTTTTTTCTCTTTGCGCTTTTTTCCGTGTGCGCTTTTTTCTCTTTGCGCTTTTTTCCGTTTGCGCTTTTTTCTGTTTGCGCTTTTTTCTGTGTGCGCTTTTTTCTCTTTGCGCTTTTTTCCGTTTGCGCTTTTTTCTCTTTGCGCTTTTTTCTGTTTGCGCTTTTTTCTCTTTGCGCTTTTTTCCGTGTGCGCTTATTTCCGTTGCGCTTTTTGATTTGCGCTTTTTTCCGTTGCGCTTTTTTCCGTTGCGGTTCTTTCTGGGAACCCTTGTATTTGCATTATGATCGTATAGAGTCTTTTATTTGTGTATGATGGTCAAAGTGTGATTTTTTTTTGGTGGTTTTTTTTTTTTTTTTTGGTATGGCATTCTTGGTAGATTTTTTTGTAATTGCTGCAGACCTATAACATTTGAAGTATGTCGTAATTTTTAAATTAATGTACGTTTTCAAGGTCGTTTGTTTTTCCACGGTAGGTCACTTCGTCAGTCACATTACACTAAGTTTATATGCACTATCAATATATGTTCCAGTATTTCCGTCTACTATAAGTATTTTTTCTAAATAACTAGTCGTTTAGTAAATACGTTGTGGGTGGCAGGGGAAAGTTTGAGGGGAGGGGGGGGGAGGGATCTCACGAGAGATCTGTTAATGTTTCCGGCTCCTAACTTCCCACACGCCGTACACTACAGTCACGTTTCTGTTATTTGTTTACTCTTGTAGTCCTAGATTAAGCGCAATCGTCCTATTGACACGCATTCGGGTTTTCTTGTGCCTATTTTTAGACGTCCCCCCCCCCCCTTCTTAGTCTCTTTGCATTTTGACTTCCGTATACTCGGGCTGCTAGCTCTGTCACAACACAGTTCAACAAGACGGGCTTCGTTGTACGTGCACACGTTTTCTTCAATGGGTGACTGGGTACGGTTTAGTGCGTATTGATAGCTGTCTACATGAAATGTGTATGATACTATAGTGTAATTAATCCGTGTGATTTTTACATATATGGTTTATTGAATTTATGGACTGTTTTTAAAACGTTAGGAAAATACAATTATACTATTCTTTTTATTGTGAAATATAAAAAAAAACAAATGGACTTCATGTTAGTTGTCAGGTAAGCATACATTGGATAATTTTAGTACATGTAAGTTATTCAAAATTTGTAAGGGAAAGACGCAAATATGTTTTATATTAAATGCAGATGTGTTGTGTTAAAAATTAACTACCCTTTTATTTTATTTGAGTCACGGCTTATTATTAATTTATAAATGTTTACGTTAATTTTGCCGTACCCCAGTGTTTTAGTTGTTTTACACGGTTGAGCTTCATTATTAATTTTAATAGTTAATCCGTTTTATTCATAGAATTAATGAACGTTTTCTTTCATTGTTATATTTAACGGCGTGTTTCTTAGCCGTGACCGCCTGTTTTTATAACCGGTAACGTCCAGAGCTACACCCCGACCATTAAGATAAATATTTTATTTATGATTCAGATTGTTAGGTTTAGGGTTAGGCTTATGTTTTTATTGGGACTTTGTGTTATTTTTCGCGATAGAAGCAGTGCGATTATAGATTATATTGGTGTTAGGTAGATGTACATGTAGGCGACTATAATTGGATAGTTAGCTAAACACAGGTGTGAAAACAATAACATTTACACCGAGGTGCTTGCGATGACAGAAATGTAAAAACCCGCGACACGCCTCCCTTGTGTAATGTTTGTGGTGTGTAGCTTGTACACTGTCACCTTGGTGTCTGGATATGTCAACACTTGTGTGCTATAAATATACAAGTTCGTGACATGCGCAGTCGGAGCGGGTTGTGTGATGCACGTATTGAACAGCGCGGCTGTGGTGTAGCGTAAGACGCCCTCGACATAAACAAATGTAGCCTCGCTGTTTCGTGTCACTGCACCGCTAGGTTGGCGTGGCCCGGATATGGTGGGGGGGGGGGGGGCAAGGTTTATTTGGGCTTGAGGTTGAACATGGCGACCGCACTGCAGACTAAACTGCTGTGTGACAGGGTTACTGTTAAACTTTGTCCTAATTTTTTTTAAATGTTGTTTAGCTTCCTGCGGCGCTTCTTACATAGAAAGTGTATGCAAGATCGTGTCGAGGTGTCGTCATTCCGTGGTGGCGATTTAACGCTGTATTGATCAAGCTTTTTTTTTTAAATAGTCATCATTTGCATAAAGGTTTTTTTTTAGATGTGGCTATTTAACAGTAGATCTAGATAGATTTAACTAATAAACCTTGACTTTTAAATTGTGGTTTGGCAGATGTGTTTAGCTATTGAGTTAACCCTGGAAGCAGGATATGGCCATTCAACAGTAGGTTCATAGGCCTCAGTTCTATTTTTTTTTGGTTGAACCTGGCCACTGTAATGTTCTGTTGTCCACATGCCTGGTAGGTTAAAAGTTAAACGGCATTCATTTTGGAGCTGTGTTAGAAACATGTTTAGAGGGTGGTGGGGGTGGTTTTTGTGACATAGTGAGACATGGGCAAAAAAAAGACTAATAGAGCAACGTCATTTACTGACGATTCACTTTCATTCGACTTTTTCTAGCTTAAATAAAAGTATTTCAGAATGTAAATTGTTAGACTATTGATCAGTTATATTCACACAATTATTGTATCTGGTTCTTTAGTTTAGCTAAAACTTCTAAAAGCGATACACTATCTTCCTTTTTTTATGCCCGTGTAACACCTGTAGTTTTTTTTTTTTTTTTTGCATTCCAAAAATATCGTCTTATTTTAGATGATGCCAATACCATTTTTTTTTAAACAATGATTGTTAACATTTATTTGCTCACTAAATAGTTTAGCTTGCATGCTCTTTATATAAAAATGTTTGTTTTTAGACTATGTATTATAGCCAGATAAAGAGCAATGCATAATTGAATTAAGGCTTTTGGTAGTAAAAGTTAAGGCTACATATAGTACTAAAGGCAAGGCTTAATGTTAAGGCAGCGGTACTTAACAAACAGCGTTAAATGCCCTGTTGACTTTCTTTAAATTTAAAAGACCCAAAAATTAAGGTTACTTTTTTAATTTTTTAGCCCTGACGTTACATAAGGACTGACATCAGGTAGTGGTAGAAAAGTCGACCTTTATACTAAGACCTTGATTTTTTTTTTTTAAAGATAAGACACGCCTGTGATTAAAACACAAAAGTAGGTTACAAACGGGACACAAGTTTGAATATTTTTCCCTATTGCGTCTATCATTAGGCCTAGACTAAATTAGCAGGGAATTCCCGATCCTTGTAATTCCAAACCGTTTTTTTTTTTCCATCACTCTTTTGCAGTCTTCAGCATATCGTACCAGCACTCCCTGCACATAATGAACGCGCTAACCCTCTGTACCGGGGTGAGTTATATTTCTTAGCATGACGAAGCAAAGTTCACCTGCATATGGGCCGTGTTGTGTGGCTTCCTATGCAGACATATTGGCCCTAGTCTAACTCATAGGGCTATTTTTGTTCGAAAATCTTAGATGTGTCTAACAGGCGTCTACTAACACAATATTTGCTTCAAAAAACTTTTTATCATCACCCAGTACTTTTCACTGAATATCCTTGACAAACCAACCCAACAGACCACCCCCCCCCCCCCCCCCCCAAAAAAAAATAATATAAAAATAATGATAAATAACAATAATTTAATACGACAAAAAACTGTTAATGTCCATGGCATGGTGTTCGCCGTCTTGACCGTATCGAAGCTACAATTTGTTGTACTGCTACTCTAACCCAAGCCATAACACTGTTACTGCGATACACAATATCGTGTATCTGGTAAACAGATTGAACTGATCTCCCAACTGTATATGTTTGGTTTAGGATAAAGTTATAGGCGACGGCAATAGTAACGATTTGAATGCGGCGGTACTAAAGCTCGGTTTCCCTTTCAACTCCATGTACATGCCGTTGTTTTACGGTAAAAACAATCGTTTTTCAAACGCGTCTCCGTGCATTATAATTCAAAATCAATATCCTTTTATCCTTTCATTTAGCATATCATCTTTGCTGTTTGCATTATGCAAAGCTTTGAGTCCGCGTCCATAAGACTCTTTTAAAACCATCGGTTTTTTTTTTTTTGTTCTCTTTGACGGTAAACATCGGCTTCCAATTCATATTGTTTGTTGTTGTATTATTAGAACAATAAAGGGCTTTTTTTTTTTAAACTGATACAGTCGCTTATAATTTAAATAAACGACACGTCAAGTGAATAGTTATATGAAGTATCTCACAAAACAATAGCGAGCTCATTAAACTGTAATACTGCCGCTTAAATTTGAATAAACCACACGTCGTGTGAATGGTTGTGTTATGTTTATTACACCTGTTTTCATCTGTGCTAGAGGAAGGAGCTATATATTTACTTTGTCTTGCAATATATCATTTGAGCAATTTTTTTTATTGCAGCGTGATGTACTCGACGAGTTCACGTTAGAAGCAAATCATTAGTTTTGTGTTCTCTTATGGTGTGTTTCTTATAAGGTCGATACAGAACACTTGCAGTGATTCTCGATACCGCCGTTTACGACAGCTGCACTAGCTTAAAGCCCTACCCTAAAAGAACAGTATTGTGGTTTTTTTCCGGCTTAAAGAAAGGTAAATATTTTCCCCGAAAATCGTTTTCTGAGAAAGAACCGGTGGCCTTTGCCTATCTTACAAAAGGATTCAATGTCATAAATGTTCAGGGCATGTCCCTATGTCATTAGGTCACTGCATTCATTGAACCGAACACCGGGCGCTTTCACTGTAGGCTACCTCCATCATGTACATTTGGTCTGTTCACTTCACTGGACCAATGGTCCAACTTGTATTGACAGAAGATCACCCACCTCATGTTCAGCATACCCTCTAAACTCTAAGGGGAAAAAAACTAGTGCATCGTGTATTTTTTGTGCGCCGTGTTCTAAAAGTCCTATACAAAGATATATGTATTTTATAAAATGACTGCGCGGCAGGTTCAAAATTATCGCGCAACCAGCGCAGTTTAGAGGGAACCTAGCCCATGTTCCACTTCGCTAGACCAATTGTCCTTCGCGTCAAAAGATCATAGACCTTTTTAAACTAAGTACGAAACAGAAACAACCTGTCTTACCATTCTCGTCACAACATTACACCAGCCGACGTTGCGTGTCCCTCTACTGGCTATTCTTAGCCCGGTGGATATCGCTCGTGTCAGCTTGCCAATACATTCATTCACTCAGATCTATTTATAAACGGCTCGGGTTGGTGTGCAGTTTTAGAATCCTGATTTGTTTCTCATTGTGTATGGAAGATCGGTTATTTTTTCTGGTTTAGTTTTTAACTAATCCGACCTAAAAGTGTATATGTACGACTTTCACCCCGTGTATAGTTTTGTGCACACTTGATTCAAGATATATATTTTGTAAGAAAACTCATACACGTTTTGGTTCTTTTCGATTACCCATATCCACTTAATCCAAGCTGGATTATCGTGACTAACTCAAATCTTGTATGCTATACCAGTGAAATTACAGGGTAACCAAATAATACGGTAGTTTTATATAAATATAGTTTAAGTCGTGTTTTTGCCTTTTGTTCTCAAGGTTTTGATGTTGTTGAATAGTTGTTGAAGCTCAGTATCTCTTTTGTTGTCAGACTGTTCGATACTTGAAAGTGGGACGGAGACCATCTGTAACTATAGTAATGATGGCTTGTCATACTCGCAGTATCGATTACCGCGACAAAAGACTCGGAGTGGTTTGTTTACGCTCGATACTATCGTGTAATAGGTTGTTAGTCGTTTCATTCAGTCCTATACAGGTCTAGGGAGGTTGCATGCCTAGCGCAAGTAATTGTCTACTTTTAGGCTGCTTGCCTAGCTGAAGTAATTGCCTACTTTAGAGCCTGCTTGACTAGTTGTGTGGTTTCATGCTTAGCACAGATTATCTATTTAGGGCTACTTGCCTAGCTCAAAAAAGTATCTACTTATAGCCTGCTTGCCTAGCTGAAGTAATTGTCTACTTAAGACTGCTTGGCTAGCTCAAATAATTGTCTACTTAAAGCATGCTAGACTAGAGTGTATTTACGTGCTTAGTACAGATTATCTACTTGGGGCTACTTGTCTAGTATGTAT